CTCCTTCTCCTTCTCCTTCTCCTTCTCCTTCTCCTTCTCCTTCTCCTTCTCCTTCTCCTTCTCCTTCTCCTTCTTCTTTTGTTTTTTTGGTCTCATTAAATTGTTCAGGCTGTCCTCAAACTTTTGATCCTCTTGCCTCAGTCTCCAGTAGTCAGCATTACATGTGTGCCCCACTTTGCCCAGGTACCTTTGAGTATTCTTAGTAAGCACTATGAATCAACAAGACAGGGAGTGCTGGGAAGCCTCTCCCAGAGTTATCTGTGCTATTCTTTCCACAGAGTGTATTTCAGAATGAGAGCTCCATGCAGCGCACTCTGGAAAAAGTCACTAAGGGAAGGGCCACCTGCTTTCCATCTTTCCAAGGGACTGAAAAAGGACATAGGTGCAGGTGAGAACAGCAAGGATTTTGTCATGAGGAATGACATGCTGGGTCTTCCTCTCCTCAGGCAGCTTTCATAGCTCATGTGGATGCTGTTCCCGGGAAAGGGGTGTGAGTCTGTGATTCCAAGGAGCTGATTCAACTCTTGATTCTTCACCTTCTAACTAGGTGGTCCTGGGCACAGCACCTGGCCTCTGTGAGTCTAGTATCTGTGATTGCATCATAACAGGGTATGTCTAAGGTCTCTTCTGGCTGCAGGATTCTATACACGCACATTTCTGACAAAGGGAGGGAGGGAAGAGGAAAAGGAATAATCTCTAGTTCTCGACCACTGATTCTAGACTTACTTGGGAGTTGTTTCTACAGAGGTTCACATGCCTGCTTATTTACTTAGCCCATGTGGTCCCTGGGGATTGAGGCTGCTAAGAGAGAAAAATTGTAATGTGCCAAGCTGGACTCATGGCCATCAACCGCTGAGGGAGAAAGAAGAGAAGAGAGGTGCTCGTATTAACCCCTGTGCATCTGAGGAGACGATTAAAAACACACTATATCAAAGAGCCAAGCTTTTAAACAGAGTGACTACCACCCACATTTTCTAAACTAAGCACCAGGCCCCACGATATCAGAAGGGGTTTTTAATGCCATGTGGTATAAGAAGCCATCCTGGAGATGAAATGGGGAAGTTTACCTTTCAATTTTGGCAATGTGCAGATGGCTTGTAGGGAGACAAGGGACTGAATAGCTGAAAACAGGAGAGTTTCAGGAAGCCCGGGGAATAGGACCATCCTGCCAAACACCTTCTTCTGTACACTCAACATGCAGAACAAAAGGAGTGTCGCTCATTCCCTATCAACAAAAACGGAGTGCCTCATCCTCAGCATTCCCATGCAGGCAATCAAAACCACACCGGGTGCTTGGATTGCATCTAACACTCCCAACCAGGTCCGGGTCTGTTCCTGGGGCTCTCCCACTTTCTCTTAGGCTTCCTTGCAATATTCACTTCCACCAGATAGAGTGCAAAGCAACAATTTCTCCCACTTAATTTATTAACCCACAAGACATAATGACCTACTTGGGAGTTTGATGTCTTCACAGCGGAGCTCCTAGGCTGAGAACTTCTCAAAGCAAGAGTGAGCTGAGCACATCTCCCGTGTTAGGAGCTGAGCACTGACCTGGCCCTTTGTGCTGCCCTGTTTTTAATTTCCTGCAGCCTGTTGTCCCTCTGATAAGTGTTGAAAAGGGAAAAAGTGTTATTTAATTGCTGTAAAATATCAAACAAACCAGTGGGGAGGTTATCTCCTTCCCAACCTCTCTATTTTTTTGGTTCCAGGTTCTGTTACTTGGTTACTGACCCTGCTGCAGAGGCAGGAGAGGCGGCCCCGTGTGGGTAAGAGCAGTCTTGGCAGAGATTGGGGGAAAAGAGGCAGGAGTCAAACAAGGGATGGGAACTCAGGCTGCTGGGCACAGGCAGCAGCAAAGTCAAACAGCTCTTTGGAGGTGGGACAGGCAGGGGAGGCATAAAGGAACCGGGCAAAATTTAAAAAACTGTTTAAATGACATCTTTTCTCTGGTCAGAGTGGATCAGTATGTTCAGATCCCACTCAGCCAGCTGCAGGAAAGACAGGTGTGCTTGAGGTGGTTGGGCCCAGTACTTCGTCCAGGCTGGGGGTCCTACTCAGCGCACAGAAGGGAGTTTCACTGTCTTTGGTTACCCAAGCTCAAGAGCATGCAGAGGCACAACCACTCACTGAGTTGCCTCAAATGGAGATGGCTATTTAGCTAAGCCTCCAGGAGTAGCTTGTTTTTTTCCTGGTGGGATTCATACTAAAACTAAAAAGCCCCCACCACACACACAAAAAAATCATCAAAACTGTACATGTACAAAACTCCCATAGGAGTCACCATGTATGTAGGGGAGGGGAGTATCTTGACGGCCAGGGGTTCATTTCTTGGATGGTTATGAAAGTGTGGGTTTTTCAAATGATATATACATTTGTTATCAATGGTTTGAGAACACTCACAAGACGTGGTACCAGCGAAATGAATTGAAGGGTAGCGTGGGCACTGCCTGGTTCTTCTTTGCCCACCTCTTTCATTGGAAATCATCAAGTCATGGCTTTTAAAGTAGAGGTAGCAATAGGTTTTGGAACTGTCACCAAAGGAGGCAGACTTCCCCTGAGCTCAATTCTATGACCACCTCTTCCAGGGATTGGGGGAAAGGAACACAGCCCTCTTCCAGTGAACTGCCCACCTTGGCCTCTCTGCCCTATATACAGGAGTCGAAAGACAAGCTGACTCCCGGGTTGGTTCAGACATCAGACAGTCACTAGTTCGGGTTCCATCCAGCCCAGGAGCTCCAGGCTGAGCAACATCTCAAAAGGACAAGAAGTCAACCAAAGTCCCTGATTTCCATGCTTACCCGCAGCTCACTGCTGCTTTACCTGCTCTTTCCCTCCCCACATCTCCCACGCCACCTGCTAAACAGCTTCTGGACTTTTGCTTTTCACTGGGGAATTGACAACTGGATAACAGGACGGACAGATCAAGGCAGCTCAGCCCACGGAGAAAGTTAATTAGGACATCGTTTCTGATTTTCCAGCCTCTGAAACTGTACCCGGGATGGCGAGTGTGTGCTTGGAGGAGGGCGAGGAAAGGAAGGCTGCAGGGTTGATTGTGACTTATTAAACTATTGGAACACAAGCTGAATCATCATAGACAAAAAATAAATAGCTACAGCCCAACTCCCACTTCTTGCGGGCTCCCCTTTGCTCCCGGCACGGCACAGCACAGCTTGCAGGCAGAAAGCAGAGGGGCGGTGCAGGTCCGCAGACAGGTGCTGAATGACAGACAGACTAAAGCAAGGGGACCGCCGGGTCCCTGGGCATCCGCCTTTTACTGAGCCTCTGAGAGCTCCTAGAACTGCATCTCGGGACCCAGGTGCCGCTCACACACCTGCCTGCGTTGGCAGCTGCGTGGAGCAGCGGGGTCCTCCCCATCCCTTTGCTCTGTACCCTTTCCCTGGTTCTGAGCCTCGCATCCTGCAACCAGGGCTGGCCCATAGTAGACACAGCCTTGCAAACTTGTGTGACAAAGAAAATCACAGAGGTCCCAGGGCAAGTGTGGAACCCGCCCCCCGCCCCCCAGAAGCCACGCCAGCTGCCTGGAATGTGTGGGGTGAAAGGGAATCGATTCTGTAATATCGGAGGGAAAGCAGCGCGAGTCCTTGCCCGCGAGTCTTGGAGAGCCTGGGGTCACTTCACCCTTCGAGCCCCCGCAAGCGGGTCCTTCTTCCCTGCTCTCCTCGGAACCCGCGAGCTCGGCCCGCAGCCTCCCGCAGTATCCTCCGCAGGTCTCACCCTGGTCCTCCTACAGGACCTGGGGGGCGGAGCGAAGCGGTGGTGACGTAACTGGGGGGAGCTGTGGGGAAATGTGCCGAGGGGCTCTGGCCGGCCGGGCCAGTCCAAGCGGCGCAGCCACCCGAGCCCGCGCGCTCGCAAGGCCACTCGCCTCCAGGGCTCCAGTCCGCGGTGGGCGCTGGCGGTTTGCGCGCGAGCGGAGAGGGGAGGGAGCCTGAGGGGCCGGGAGCCCGGGACGCCGAGCGTCAGGCACCCGCCAAGCTGCCGCGCTCCCTGGTACCCAGGTGGATAAGGGACAGCTACTGGGTGCTGGCGAGACCAGATAAGGAACTGCCTCGGAAAACCAAGGTAAGGTGTGTGTGTGTGTGTGTGTGTGTGTGTGTGTGTGTGTGTGTGCGCTGTGTGATACAGAGTCAGAGATGGAAGGAGCGAGAAGCGCATTTGGGCACCTGTGTGCAACTGTGCTGAGGTTCATGCCCCGCCGGTGCGAAGAGCGTAGGTTCTGGTGCACCATTCTCGGTGCCTGTTGGGGTTGACGGTGTGACCGTGGTGGGAATGAACGACAGGGATGTCCCGGCGTAAGTCAGGGGCTGTAGGCGGTGTGCGCCAGAACCCACACGTCTGCACAGCCTCTCTGTGTGCCTGGCGTGTGCCCTGCAGCCCAAGGGTCCAGCGGTAACTATAATGGGGGCAACTTCTCTCCAAGTCACTTGCAAAAGAGCTCTGCAGCAAGGAAAGCGAGGCCAGCGGGAGGGATGTGACAGGTGCCCCCCGGGGCTCCTGTGGGCACGCATCCCGGAGATCTGAGCTCCGAACCTGGGAGTGGCAAGTGCCGGGGCGCCAAGCGCAGAGATGAGGGGATTCTCTAGTTTTTCCACACCTGGCTGAGGCGGCAGGCACGGACTGGCTCTGGGTTGCATGTCCTGCGTCTAGGCAGAGACGATAGTCTGCCTACGTGGAACCGCTGAATGGTCAAGCCCCCGAGCAACAGTCGTCGCTTCCAGCTGTCCCTGGCTCCTTAGTCTCACTCTGGGTTTACAGGCTGGACGTGCTGGCACGATAGTTTTCGTTCACTGTCCCTCGCCTTCCTCGCAATGGGCAGGGAATCCTTTAGGAGTCGCTTGATCTGAGGGTTCCCGAGTTGAAGGAGGATTTTCCCAGCTCCAGCCCCGCTGTCCTGAGCGCCCTCCCCGCATCCTCTTTGGCCAGCACCAGGGCTTTTCCCAGGTGCTCTAGCGCCGCAGTGGCCTACACCCGGTAGCTGACTTGACGGTGGGAGCCTGGCTCCAGCCCCCCAGAGACGCAATGCTAGGCTGCAAGGGAGGCAGGACTGGGGGCGAATGGGGAAAGATGCTGGGAAGACCACAACCAAGGCTAAATAGGATTTAGAGCCACCCTGATGCCAGGTCCCTGTTCCATCCCTCACTCCTCCTCTGGGATAAAGGAAGGGACCTCTGTCACTCTCCTCTTCAACAGAGCCTGGATTTCAGCTCAGAGTAAACCAGCAACCAGGCCATTCCAGGTAGCTAACAACTCTTTAGCTAGAAAAATAAAGCAGAAAAATAAAACTTCCTAGTACATTTAATTTAACCACAACTGGACAGGTATTAACTGCTTGGCATTTAGAATTCACTCTCTGTGAGACAAACATGAAGCAAAAGTCACTCAGAGACCTTAGAAAGCTGAGTTCCTTGCTAAATGAGATTCAGCAGGATTTGAGCTTATTTCTCCCTTGGCGGAGCCTCGCCCAGCTCCGGACTGGTGCCCCAACTATCACCTCCACCACCTCTGCCAGGGCTCTGAACCACATTTCTTGCTGCCTTTCAAACATGCTTCCTAGCCTATTGCAGAAAAAAAACCTGAACTTCATGTACTTTGGTCCAGTAGAAAAGGCACAATTAGGGCAGGAAAACAGCATCTGACTCTTCCCTCACATTCCCTGCATCATCATCATCACCATCACCATCATCATCATCCCCAAGAGCTCTAGACAGGGCTTCTGTGGCCCCAGGGGGCTTCAGTGTAACCCAGGCATTAGAATGTGACCATTCACGGTACATCTATAGCCCTCCAGCAAGGCTGAGGTTTGATGTACGCTCCAAGTGCAGCCAGCTGAAATAGAATTGTGGATCTGTAGAGTTAAAGAACTGATAAGATGGTTAAAAATGATAGTGGAAACAATCTAAGTTAATCCAGGGATACTAAAAACAGCTTCTTTACAGCCTGTGTAATAGCCGTCAGCTTATGTTTTTTTACCCAACACAGACACGAAATCCTGAGTCCCCAAAATACTTTGTGGCAAAACAGATTGGCCACAAAGCTTAGACTCTGCAGACGCTGTGTGACGGGGGAAATTAGCACAGGAAGAATAGGCAGTGTGCCTGGTAATACAGAATGAATCACAAGCAAAGGTGGGCAGGGATGCTTAGGACATGCTAAGCATTGCCTAAATCTCCTTTACCTGCTTTGTCTGCGAGCATTAAGCTTTCACTGTCGCATCTATTTGCAGGCACCAGGAAAAGTACCCTGCACAGGGGAGATGTGTCCGCCAGCTTCATCACACCTACTGTGTGCTGGACACACCGCCCCTCGGCACCTCGTTTCTCCCTGGACTGACTTCCTGCCCCATCCTGTTGTTTTACTCTTCATATACCCAAGGCCCAGCTCCAAAATCCCTCCCATGAAGTTTCCTCTAAATCCCCAGGAAAGAAAGGAATTCTTACAGCCTTTGTTAATATCTCTTTGCAATTCACACCCTCTTTGAGTGGGCTTCCCTGGCTGTCTCCCCTACTGAATTATCACTCCCAAGAGGGCACCAGCCACATCTTTGTGCCCAACACAAAGAAGCCCCCAGCCACGTATTTCAAATCACTGTAGAGAAATCATTCAAGTATGGGATGGTCCATTGTTTGATATCTTAAGCCAAGCCAATAGTGTTACAATTATGTGCTCAGCAAGCATGCAGGTAACACAGCAGTCAGCTGCGTTAAACCAAAGCCGTTATCACCCACTCATTTTTCCCATCTGTTGAGCAGCAGACGTGCTGCCATGAAAAGCAGAGGAGATGTAGGGCCAGGTGGCGTGTGTTCAAATCCCAACCTGCCAACTGTGACAGTAAGCTCCTCAAACTCTCTAGGCCTTGATTTCCTCATCTTTAAAATGGGGATAATATCCCACTTATCGAGATGATGGGGAAGCAGGGAGTGGGAATGGACCATCTTGGTGTTTGGAACCTTCTGTTTACACCTAGAAAGACTGAGTCCCTTACCTGGCTCCTGTTTTCATCCTTAATCAGGGAATTACAGCCAAACCCTCTAGGGGGTTAGAAATACTCTAGAGCAGCACCTTGGTCAGGGATTTTTTTTTTTTTTTTTTTTTTTTTTTTTTTTTTTGAGGCAGGGTCTCTCTATGCAGTTCAGGCCGGCCTCGAACTCACTTTGTAGCCCAGGCTGGCCTTGAACTCAATGATCCTCCTGCCTCAGCCTCCTGAGTGCTGGGATTACAGGTGTGCGCCACCACACCCAGCAAGTACTTCAGGAAAGCACTCTCCTCAGCATGAAGTGACAAGTACTGGGGATTAGAAAAAACAAAAATGAAACAAACAATATCTAAACTAAAGCACACATTTAAAAAAGTTTGGGGGGAGGACAAGTTCTCATTATGTAGTTCAGGGTGCCCTTGAATTCACTATGTAGCCCAGCTTGTCCTCAAACTAGTGGCACTCCTACTGCCTCAGCCTCCCGAACAGTAGAATTACAGGTATGCACCCGGATGCCTAGCTTCAGACTTTTATTTCTAATATTGAAGACTATAAATTGATTCACTGTGTAGGCAGATTTCAATCAACTGAAGACAATGAGATGGTGGAAGAAAAAAGGAGAGGGATAACTTTGAAGTTCCAATTATGGGCTCAATACAATGGTAGGCATCTTCCCATACCTCCTCTGGCACCCCCATTCCAGCAAAGGAGAGTCTGAGCAGTACAGGGCTAGACACATGGGCTCAGCAGTGGAGACCAGGACTGTTCTAACTCTGAAGTCTAGGGTTTTCCTATTGCAGAGATTGAGAATGGAAAGACTTCCCAGCAGGCAGCAAGTCAGCATAGCTTTCTTCACAGGGAAAAGACCCAGGATGCCAGAGTCAGACCTTCCTACCCCAAAGTCAGGGGCTCAAATTCTCCAAGCTCTGTTTTTTTGAAGTTTGAACAAGTCAACTGCTGAGGGGTCAAAGTATGTGTTCTTGAGGCCACAGCCATCCCCGACATGTGCATCACCAAAACTGATGGCTCAACCCAAGCCCTTCCCCTACTACAGAAAAGGAACTCAAAAAATCACACTGATGTGGAAAGATAGCATGTTTTCCAGTTGAAGAGTACATCTAAGAGGATAAAGCAGAAACATTGTCACTGATAGGCCTATCTTCTTTCTTTCCTTCCAGATGTTGCAGTGGATCCTTGGCCTCCAGGGCACACTGCAGTGCAAATAAGATCTCTGGGCTGGCTGGCTGTAGACTCAGAGGCAGAGCAAGCATGGAGATGGCGTACGAGCACCTCAATGGGAGCCAGGCATGGCTGGCCCCTCCCTTTGACCTCAATGGCTCAGTGGTAGCAGCCAACAGCTCGAACCAGACAGAGCCATACTATGACATGACCAGCAATGCAGTACTCACATTCATATATTTTGTGGTCTGTATCATCGGGTTGTGCGGCAACACGCTTGTCATTTATGTCATCCTCCGCTACGCCAAGATGAAGACCATCACCAATATCTACATCCTCAACCTGGCCATTGCGGACGAGCTCTTCATGCTAGGGCTCCCCTTCTTGGCCATGCAGGTGGCACTAGTCCACTGGCCCTTTGGCAAGGCCATCTGCCGGGTGGTCATGACTGTGGATGGCATCAATCAGTTCACCAGCATTTTCTGCTTGACAGTCATGAGCATTGACCGTTACCTGGCCGTGGTCCACCCCATCAAGTCGGCCAAGTGGAGGAGACCGAGGACAGCCAAGATGATCAACGTGGCTGTGTGGGGAGTTTCTCTGCTAGTCATCTTGCCTATCATGATATATGCTGGGCTTCGGAGCAACCAGTGGGGGAAAAGCAGCTGCACCATCAACTGGCCAGGTGAATCTGGGGCATGGTACACAGGGTTCATTATCTACACTTTCATCTTAGGGTTCCTGGTACCCCTCACCATCATTTGTCTCTGCTATCTGTTCATCATCATCAAAGTGAAGTCCTCTGGAATCCGAGTGGGTTCTTCCAAGAGGAAAAAATCTGAGAAGAAGGTCACTCGAATGGTGTCTATCGTGGTGGCTGTCTTCATTTTCTGCTGGCTCCCCTTCTACATATTCAATGTCTCCTCCGTCTCTGTGGCCATCAATCCCACCCCAGCCCTTAAAGGCATGTTTGACTTTGTGGTGGTCCTTACTTATGCTAACAGCTGTGCCAACCCTATCCTCTATGCCTTCTTATCTGACAACTTCAAGAAGAGCTTCCAGAATGTCCTGTGCTTGGTCAAGGTGGGTGGCACAGATGATGGGGAAAGGAGTGACAGCAAGCAGGATAAATCCCGGCTCAATGAGACCACAGAGACCCAGAGGACCCTCCTCAATGGAGACCTCCAGACCAGTATCTGAACCGCCTGGAAAACAAAAGCGCAGAGAAGCCAAGCTCTGCCTCTTGGCAATGAGCTCTATCCTTGTCCCCTCTTCCTCCTACCCATCACTCTGGCTTCTAGAATAAAGGATTGCTCAGCATGAGCCCAATTCAGAGAACAGGGCTCGAGCTGGTGTGATTGAATGATAATGTACCACATTGATTACCTCCCCCTTACGGAGACATTTAAATCCAGGCAGACCATTCAAAGTCTGGAGAAAAGACGATCATGCCTGGGTGTGACTCTGAGAAATTCTAAGGCTCAACAAAAATAGAAAAAAAAATTACCTATGTGTTTGTGTGCTTAAAAACCAATATGTAATCTTGAGTTCTGATATTTATACTTGTATTGCCCCTATCCTTTGTATAGTCGTTACCTTCCTTTTCTTCATTACATATGCAAGGAGCAAAGTCAACTGTGTATAGTGTACATGGACATTTACCACAATACGGAACTAAAGAAATGGACTTAGCATGAAGCCAACAAAGTGTAAGCTTCAGGGATCTCCCTAGCAGTGTGGTCATGTGGTTATGATTTTGTTTTTAAAAAAAAAACTGTGAAAGTAAAATATTTTTGTATTTTTTTTCCTCTTAGGAGGGCCCCTTAAATTGTATAAACTTCCAGCCTCACAAAATCTGCCTCTGTCCTAGGGTATGTGCTTCATTAAATTCAGAAAAGTTAGGTCAAAGTAAAGAGGAGATGGGAGAAGATATTTCAGACTCAAAATACAAAGTCATGAGTTTCCTCATCTTCGATGCAATTAGTTATTCATTTACCCCAAAGGACTTAAGTGGTTGTGGTCATCAATCATTGTATTCATCAAGACAAAGCTGGCTTTGTTGTAAGATTGCACTTTTCTTCTCAAATTGGTTTGGTCTTCCTTAGGAAGCCACAGAGAGGAAAAATCACTAACCCTGAAAGGAAAAAAAAAAATAAAAAAGACTATGATTCTTGTGGGGAAACAATTTTCTTTCCTTCCTACTGTGAAAATAAACGAATAAGGACGAAGCAAAATTATACCTTTATGAGAAACTATGAAAAAGTTTTTTTTTTTCTTTTAATGTTGGACATGACTTTCTAACGTAATTCAACAAACCCCTCAAAGGGTTTTTTAAAGGATTTTATACAAAACTAGACATTAAGAAAATCAGGATGCATATTAAAGACCTAAGGACATTGTTCATAAAACAAAAACATACACATCAGCCAACAAATACTTAGCATGAGGGGGGTGCACAGGTGTGAGAGTGAGAGTGTGAATGTGTGTGTGTGTGTATGTGTGTGTGTGTGTTGAAAGGACCCCCACCCTTTGGAGGTTTTGCTTTCCTGCCTTCTTCCCCGACTATTATTAGGCATTATATCTTTAATGTTATGAACTCTGAGCTTTTTCCCGAGGACTTTTGTTACCCAAACTGTAAATAGGTTTATGTACAAGTGATAAGAACAGACAATGTCCCATTCTGTGGACTGATCACAGTTTCCAGAATTTTGAAGTAACACAGTATACACCCAGTACTTGCAAGATGTCATCGTCTCTGGGTTTATGTGAAAGTATGACTCTTAACATCTTGCATATAGCTTTTACCATATTTAAAAATGAGCTTTCTTCTTCTGGCTCTCTAAGCAAGTGTTGTTTGAAGGTCAGAGTGACTAAGTGTCCCACCTGTGGCTTCCTTGTTAATGCACTGCTTTCATTCCCTCTGCCTATATCATTTACCTCACTCCCTAAAGTACTTACTGTGGTTCAAAAAATATGTTCAATAAGATTTATGATAGACAAATGCACTCACGCAACAATAAGGAGGTGCAATTATGAAACAAGACTATAGGGCAACTTGTTACAAAAAATGCATGTGGTAGAAACCCACACTGTAGGGACAGAGGCACTGTAGGTAGGGAAAACATAGTATGAAAGCCCCATTGAGTTTTATTAAAAATTAATAGACAGTTTTGACCTCTGCAGCCAGACTCTAGCAATTAGAAGGGCAAAGGTAGCTAGACTCTGAGGCATTAGACAGAAACAGCTAAACTCAAGCAATTAGGAAAACAAAGAACTCAGGACGGGGCGTTCCTAGGTAGCTGGAGTAACATAAGAATGGGCAACTTCTCCTTCACTTAATCCTTTAGCCATACTACCAGTTCATAAGCCCCCTCGCATAACCTTACTTTCCACCAAAAGACAGGAAATGTCACATGACCGGAAGAAACCCAAGGTTAGGATGAAAGACAAGCCAGGGGCCCAATCAGATTCCAGGAGCGTACGTGGGCCAAAGATGTCAATAGAAGGAGATGCAGACAAGAAATCCACAATAAATTCACTTTCGAATTCTCCCTACGCCTTTTGAGTTGCTATCTATTATCTAGTTTTTCCTCCTTTCCCATCTTCAAGTAAACTGCCTTCTTTTATTTTAAACTGTTTCTTTGGTTTTTTACCAGCACTGGTTTTAGGATCACGGGGAGCTGCATGTTCCAGCAGAGCAGTGGCTGCCTGTCCACCCCTGAACATTACAGTGTGGTATAGCATGGCACGGTGTTTGACCCTTCCCAGACGTTGCAACATTTACTGAAGGCGAAGTTAGCTACACGCTCAGTTAGTAGTCGTACGTAATGGAAAGTGACATTCTAGAAATAAAAACAAGCAAAGAAAGAAACACTATAAACTCAGTTCTACCACTATAATAAGATTTCCCAGTGACATAGGGATAATGTAAGGACACTCAAATGCTATAAGAGAAAAACTATAACTCCTAACCTGCTGGATGTCTGATACTCTTGAGTTCGTGTACCCACAAAGTCAAAGAATGAATTCTAAGGAACAGCAGAGGTTAAGACTAGGAAGTATTTATTGAGGGAAAGAAAGCTTCTGGGACCAGAAAGTGAATTACCCATGAGCCCACTTCTCACAGGAAGTTTTAGAAAGCAAAACCATGAGGTGAGTACAAAATCATGAGATGGGTGTAAGGTGGGACAAAAATGATCAACCAATAAGATTACAAGTATAGTAATCACTCAGGTAATATTGATCCAGTGGAGAAGCAAGTCATGTAGCAAGTGTTCATGGAAAGAACAAGGACCTTTCCTGGAAGGGATAAGTCAAGGTCTCGTTCCCCCACCCACGTGATTGATTCCTCTTAGAATATCACTCATTATTGTTTATCCTCAGGGAAGAAGGAATAGTCACTTCATCTTTATTTTCAGTCCTGGCCTTCAACAAACGCAACTCTACGCACACTTTTAACGTGTTCTCATCTTCTGCACTGACTCCTTCAAGAGCCTATTCCTATCTAACTGCCTAGAATATTTCTACCTAACTTCGCTGTTTATAATACCAGGGTCTTTGAATATGTGTTGTGTTTTTGCTGTTTTTTTAACTTAGGGCAATAATTCCAAGTGACCAAGAATTGGTAGAAATAATTTGAAGTCAGTTAAGAATAATCCTATAGTGTCCATGTTCTGGAGACCAGAGAACCTGTCCCCAAAACAGCCATCAACAACCTCAAAATCAAATTCATACCCAGTATCAGGAGCTACCACCTATCAACGGACTGACCATTTGAAGGCCAAAAAAAAAGAGGGGTCTTCAAGATCAATGTTATAATTTGATCTAAATAAGCAGTCAGTGGAAGTAGCATTTCTACTACAAAGAAATGTGTTCTCTACTTTTTGAAATATCCTTTTCAAGGATGACTTTCTCTCTGGTTTTCTTTTCCCCAAAAGGGGGAATAAACTTTTTAATGTCAATGCTACTGAAATTTTAATTCAAAAATGTAATGTTCAGCTTCAGCTCAACATTATGAAGATAAATTTGCTGGCTGTTAAGAGAACAAACAGCAACACATCCCATTGATTTTAGGGTATCACTTCTATTAATATAGGTAGTTAAGAGCTGATTAAGCCTTTGTGGACTTAGTGAGAAAGCTATTGAGGAAGATATGACAACATGGCCCAATTCAATGTCAGCTTGTGTTTCAGCGTTGAGTAATGTTGGAGTTGGAGCTGAAACTTTGGAAGGGTTCATACTATAGCTTGGAAAAATTTAAGATGCAAAGACAGATGGTGAAATGGAATACAAAGAGGAAACTGTGGGCTGGTGGATGGGATTTCCAGAGCCGGCTATGATTTGGAATCTATTTACTTATACAGGTTATCTTGTCCATGAATGAACATGGGTGTTGCTAGTGCTCGCTTCAGCAGCACATATACTAAAAATTTGGGCATTGCTTGCCAAAGCTTGCATCCCCAGCTGCCCTGGATAGGAGAATCATGGTGGAAAAGTATACAGTCTGACCACTGGGGTGGGTAAGAAGAAAAGGGCTGCTGAGATACATATTCCCAACCAGCTCCAAGACTGACTCTTCAGTGAAGCCTGAAGTTACAATGGCAGGAAGGTAGGAACTTGGGTCTGGCAGAGAAAGGTGACAATGTCAAAATGTTCCATTTACAGTCAGGGAAGTCTGTTTAGTGTTTCTGAAGTATGTATTATCATAGGAATCACAATAGCTTATAAGCAGTTGCGCTTCCATGTGATGATTTATAATCAATCACTTGTCTCATCCACATTTTTGCAGGAATCAAAAACATTAAATTTCCCATCAAACATTCTATCAAAGCAAACCTCTACCTAAGTGCTTGTTTTGCTTTTAATATGTGAATTTCTGGGAACATTCTCCTAGGCAGAGCCTCTAATTTTTTCTACTGGCTCGTGTAAAAAGTAGGCACCAGGGACTGTGTTCTGCTCACAGCAGAAAAACTTCTGTAGCTGCCGTTACTGACTCAGTGACCATTCAGCCTGGGAATAACATCTCAAGGACAAGCTTTCACACCTGCCACCATCACTGCCACTTTCAAGGCCTGCCTCTCCCTTCCTCCACTCAGCAGTGGTTGAGCTCTGGCAGATATCTATTTGCTCTCCTGTAAATGTCTCTGGTTGTATCTATCTGGACTGTGCTTAAAAACAGAGCTAAATATTAACCAAGACCTCACCAAGCCAACTATAAAGCATTATTGATTCTTCTAGGATGAGAAGTGCAAGTAATGTCATTAGAATAAATGCTGTGGCCAGATCACCCAGTACACTGAACACCTGCCTTCTATTCAGCACCGATTTTAAGCATTAGAGAGCTAAAGGCAGAGACTCAGCTTCAGGGGCTGGAGACACAGGGGGTGACAGGCAGGAGGGACTGACTTCATTTTCCATCTCTCTTTCTCCTGGCGTTGTCAAAGGGAGGGACTAGCGGGAGGAAAGGGCCTCTTGGCTTGGATACTGGTGTTTGAAAACAGAAAGGGATGTCCTGATTAGAGATTCCATTGCCCTGTCCCTTCAGAAAAGCCTGTGAGAGATGTGATACAAGGCCTACTTACAAAGAAATCTGAAATGTCATCCCATGGCCTTTCTGCCCCAATTTTTTGGTGACAGGCACCTCTAGTTGCTTAAGGATAAAAGATCTTTTGCAGTAGAAGTCACTGAAGAAAGGGAGGCCTGGGTGAGCTCAGCCTAGAGGCTGCCTGCTCTACCAAAGAAGACTGATTGAGCCCTGGATGCAGCTTCTTCCAAGAGCAGAGAGTGGACT